CCGCTCCTCCCGATCCAACGCGCCCTCCGGCGACCACGACCCCGACCAGACGAAGCCTTGCCATCCCTAGCCTCCCCCTCGCCATCCCTCTCTCTCCCGTTGCTAAACTCTTTCCCTTTCCCTGTGTTCTTCACGCAGGAGCTACAGTAGGCCATGGCGCCCTCTTTTTCCTCGCCGGAGCACCGCGTCGCCCGCGCGTTCCCATGCTTCAACAGAGCACGGCGCCATGCCTGCCTCCTTTGCCTCGTGCTCGTTCACCGCCGCCAAGTTCGTGCTGCCATGCCCCGCCGCTGCTGCTGCAAGTCCCGCTCCGTCCCAGCCTCTTCCCCGCCGTCCTGGTCTTCTCCTCGCTCCCAGACCTCCTCGTCGAACCTCGCCGGAGTTCTTCCATGACGCCAGCAACAGCAGCAGCCGCTGCACCCTCTCGCCGCCGTTTTTGCAGGAGCCTGCCGCCCATGGAGCTCCTGAAGGTTCCCGTCGCATCCGCCTCATTCCAGGGAGGGACGCCCTCGCGCCACGCCATCGCCCGGATTAGCCACCCATCGCCGGAGTTACTCGCTGGACCTCTGCACCCGCCGGCCTCCCTGCTTCTACTGCTTCCTGCATCGGTCATCGCCGTCTTGCTGCTGCATCGAGCCGCTCCAAGCCGCCGCTGCAACCCTTGCTTCGAGCGACAGAGCACAACGGGTCATGCCCGCGTTGACCAGTCGCCTCGCTCATCCAATGCCTCGTCCCGCTCCTCGCTGGTTGACCGCGACCACGCCTAGGCCGCATCTCGCGCAAGGCCCAGCCGCGCCCCTTCAGCCATCCAGCCCACCAGATCCGAGCCACGGCCCATGGTGAGGCCAACTCCAACGCCTCCTGTGTTTTTTTTCTTTCGCTGTTGGGCCAGTAGTTTCGGTCCATGATGTTTTCTTCCCCATGGTGATTCCATCTTTTATCCAGAGACTAGCAGTTTTACAGAAAATCCCCTGTTGTTCATGCATATCATATCTCACAAAATATGCATCATATCTAAAAACTTCAAATATGAAAAATGCTTAGAATTGCATCTAGATTCATAATATCCAACTTTCATACATGTTTGAAATGTTTAAAATGTTGTTTGATTAAATTTGCTCTAATAATATGCTAAAATGATTTAATTCATAACTAAATAACCGTAGCTCCATTTTAAATAAACTTTATATGTAAATGGGGTAGAAAAATGCCTAGTTTAACATAATGGCATCAATTTGCATGTTTAACAACTTTAAAATATGGTTTAGGGCAGAACAGTACCAAACCTAATATATGCATATGAGGATTTTCCGGAATTGTTGTTTGTTATTTCCGGCCTCATTTAAACTTGCCTAGATAGGTAGTTTTCATATGCTTCACCTCTTGCCATGCTAATCAACATTTAATATTGTTGAGTACCTAAACAAGAGAGAACTCAATAAGTCATGTGGTGTTTCGTCAATATGCAACTCGTTGCATATTGAGCTCCACTTAATTTGTAGTATTGTTTGTGCACTTTGCCATGCCATACCTCATTAAATCGAACATGCATCATACTTGGTTGTGCATCATGCCATGTTTATGTGATGGTTGTTTACTATGTTACTTGCTTCTTTCTGGGTAGCTTCTCTCGCTAGCTTCGGTTCTGTTCCGGAGTTGTGAAGATTCATTCGACTACATCTGTTTGTCTTCTTCATGGACTCGTTCTTTTTCCTTGCAGGATTTCAGGCAAGATGACCATACCCTCGAAATCACTTCTATCTTTGCTTGCTAGTTGCTCGCTCTATTGCTATGCCGCGATACCTACCACATGCTTTATCATGCCTCCCATATTGCCATGTCAAGCCTCTAACCCACCTTGTCCTAGCAAACCGTTGTTTGGCTATGTTACCGCTTTGCTCAGCCCCTCTTATAGCGTTGCTAGTTGCAGGTGAAGATGAAGTTTGTTCCTTGTTGGAACATGGTTATTGTTGGGATATCATTATTAATATATTGTTTACTTTAATGCATCTATATACTTGGTAAAGGGTGGAAGGCTCGGCCTTCTGCCTGGTGTTTTGTTTCACTCTTGCCGCCCTAGTTTCCGTCATACAGGTGTTATGTTCCTTGATATTGCATTCCTTACGCGGTTGGGTTATAATGGGAACCCCTTGACAGTTCACTTTGAATAAAACTCCTCCAGCAAGGCCCAACCTTGATTTTACCATTTGCCACCTAAGCCTTTTTCCCTTGGGTTCTGCAGACTCAAGGGTCATCTTTATTTTGAACCCCCGGACCAGTGCTCCTCTGAGTGTTGGTCCAACCTGTCAGCAGCCGGTGACAACCAGCGGCAACTCTGGGTTGGCCTACCGGAATCTTCGACAATCCGGTGTGCCCTGAGAACGAGATATGTGCAGCTCCTATCGGGATTTGTCGGCACATTCGGGTGGCTTTGCTTGTCTTATTTTACCATTGTCGAGATGTCTTGTAACCGGGATTCCGAGTCTAGTCAGGTCTTCCTGGAAGAAGCAATATCCTTTGTTGACCATGAGAGCTTGTGATGGGCTAAGTTGGGACACCCCTACAGGGTTTGAACTTTCGAAAGCCATGCCCGCGGTTATGGGCAGATGGGAATTTATTAATATCCAGTTGTAAAAAACTTGACACTTAACTTAATTAAAATGTATCAACCGCGTGTGTAGCCGTGATGGTCTCTTTCCGGCGGAGTCCGGAAAGTGAACACGGTTTTGGAGTTATGTTTGTACGTAAGTAGTTTCAGGATCACTTCTTGATCACTTCTAGTTCACGACCGTTGCTCTGCTTCTCTTCTCGCTCTTATTTGCGTAAGTTAGCCACCATATATGCTAGTGCTTGCCGCAGCTCCACCTCACTATCCTTTTTTCCCTACCCATAAGCTTAAATAGTCTTGATCTCGCGGGTGTGAGATTGTTGAGTCCCCGTGACTCACAGATTACTTCCAAAACCAGTTGCAGGTGCCGATGATGCCAGTGCATGTGACGCTACCGAGCTCAAGAAGGAGCTCGATGAAGACCGTGTTCGTTGTGTTGTTTCGTTTCTAGTTGATCAGTAGTGGAGCCTAGTCGGGGCGATGGGATCTAGCATTAGGGGTGGTCTTTCTTTTATTTTGGTTCGACTTTGATTGTATTCTGGATGATGTAATGCTATTTTTATGTATTGTCTGAAGTGGTGATTGTAAGCCAACTCTTTATCCCTTTCTTATTCAGTATATAGGATGTGTAAAGATTACCTCTTTTGCGACATGCCTACTATGCGATTATGCCTCTAAGTCATGCTCCGACACGTGGGAGATATAGCCGCATCGTGGGTGTAACAGTTGACTAGCTCGGCCCCGCCGAGTCCGTTCCGAAGGCAGGCGAGGGGGCCGCAGCAGTTCTGCACGCCGTAGCCCTCCGTGGGCTCTGCCCTCCATCGGCGCAGCGCCAGCCTCGCCGTCCTGTTCTCGTCGACGATCCTACCCAGGAAGCGGGCGGCGCCGTCGAAGAGGAGGATGGAAGGGTACCTCGAGCGCGCGGCTGCGGCATGGTCACGCACGAAGGAGGGGCTAGAGATCATGGAGCGCCATCTCCTGCAGACGACCTTGCACCTCGTGGCCGAGGACGGCGGCAGGAGGGTAAGGATCTTGTACAAGGTCAAGTCCGGGAGGCGCTCCGTGGCGTCGTCGTCGGACTCATCGCCGTCGACTGGTGGCATCGGTTCGTCCTCGTCCACGGCGGCCGCCCCGATCTGGCGGGCTGGTTTAGGGTTAGGGTTCCTGTGTGATCGGGCTGCACATTGCTAATCGCTTATTCTGTTTTTAACACCAGCGCACGTGTTTTTTCTTTTTCAGAAATTATCAGCGAACGTGTGGTCTTTTTTTTTCCGATGGAAACCAGCGAACAAGGAAAGGTGTACAGGCCCGTGATGAGACACCTTTCGTGGCCCATTTGGCCCGTCGCAAGTAGCTTCCCCTGCGCTGCACGCCTCTGTTCCCTTCCTCACGACGCAACTGAAGCCGTCGTCTTCGTACTCTTCTTCCTCCCCAGATCTTCCTCCACTACCGTTACCTCGTTTCTCCCCCTCTCCCGCACGGCAGCGTCGTTGCCCACCAAACTCCTCACTCCACCCGTGGAATCTCGCCTACTTTCCCGGCTCAGATCCGAGCTTATACGGTACGGGGAGCCTCGCCTTCCCCCCCTGGTCTGTCTTTCGAAGTTCACATTCAGATATTTTAGCTGTCGTCCTAGTTTCGCTAGTGTCTTGCTGAGCTACTTTAGTTGTAGCAGTACTTCCTTCGTCCGAAAAAGCTTGTCCCTCAAATGGATGTATCTAGCACAAGTTTGAGACAAGCTTTTTCGGATGGAGGGAGTAGTAGTTTATTCGCGGAGAATCTCTGAATTGTGTGAGTTTTTTTTTTTTTTTTGTCGATTGGTACGGTGGTCTCGGTTTCTTGGCGTCGTAGCAACTCAAATTGACTCGTAATTTGCGACGGATTCATGTAAACTGCCATTTCCGTTGTTGGGTGTGGAATATGCCCTGTTCATGGGTTTCTTTATAGCTCCATTTCCCATAAATTTTGGTTCATGGCTTATGAACAACTTTCAGTATACGCTAGTTTTGTACTCTGTTATGGCTGCTATTGGTTTGTTCCATGTGTGTGTATGCGTGTTTTGAACTAATTAATCATGTTTGCACACAGGCTTCGATGTCTTATTTGTGTAACACCATGCTATCTGTTGCTCATCCTGTTACAGCGAAATGGTGATCCTTTGTGCTGGCCAACCTGCTCCTTCGGTTCATTCTGAATTTCTGTCTCGATGGTTATCACTCAACAGCCCCAAAATGCCTTACGCTCTGAACTCAACCGCAAGGAAAATCAGAAAGCAAAACAGACATCGGCGGATGATCACTTTTGCAAAAAGTTCTTCATTACAAGGTATTTCTCATAGGAACTAAGCAAACCATCCCATTCAGTAGCTAAACTAGATTTCGCCTGCTTTTAGATGCTGGAAATTTACAGTAGTTCCTTTGGAAGCAATATATTCTTTGGAAATTTCACAGTGAATCATGTAAATCGTGATTCGAGTAAATGTTCTTGTATTTGCCCAGATCTTCGGATGCTCTTAATGGCCTAGCCTTCAGCAAATGTTGTGTAGCAATACGATTCACTTGTTATGCCATGCCCTCTGTTATGATGTAAATTCTGAATTTGTGGCTGAACCTATACTTATTCTTGTTAACATTCAGAGCATAAAATTATTGAATTTCTACCTTTCATTGCATTGTCCAGATTCCGTGGCATCTGTAAAGCCATCTCGTCTTCTGCCCACGGTGGAACCAAAAACATTTCCCAATAGTGTCCCTGATGAGATACTATCGAAACTCAGATTGGAAGAATCTGATGCCTTTTACATACTAGAGCTGTGCACAAGTAGAGAACTTAGTTCCTCTTTGCTAGATAAGAACTCAGCGATCTTAATCTGCTTAATTGATGTCGATGGTGACTCCTTGTTACAAAGAGTACCAGCAATCTATGGTGACCAACCTTCACATGGCACCAAGGCATCACAATTCCTCCCCTTTCAAAGTGGTTCAGTTGATATCATCACCTTTAAAGGTCCCAAATTGCAGACAATCAAAGAAATCTGGATCGGCCTTGAATCAGGTACACTATCCACCTAGTTGTCTGTTCTGCGCATATATGTGGCCGGTGCTTACTAATACTAGTGTACCCTTCATTTTCACAATATTACCGTTGAAGATCAGGTTCATGGAGATTAGATGGTTTAAGTTTGAAAGTGATCCATGGAGCACGGAATACACCTGAAGATCTTGAGGGAACACTTGGGCTCAAGTTCAGCGGTTTACAGTACACGTTCGACAAGCTCGGTGCGCTGCTTGGTGAGGATGGAGCTTCAGTAGTGGAAGCAAGGCCAATTGCTGTGACTGACTTCTCAGGAATTAGCATTTCTGATCTTCAAGAGGGGCAGTTATCCTCAGCAAGGACAGACTCGAGCATTAAGGAATTGAAGGAAGATGGACTGAGAGAGTATGCTGATCTCAAGCAATCCTTGCTGCTTTACGACATATCTATTGTTATAACAGGTTTCTCTGCCTTCACTCTGGCTTCGAATGATGGAGCCGCCTACTCATTCCTCGTCGGCGGGATTGGAGGGTTCCTGTATCTATTGCTGCTCCAAAGATCTGTGGACGGGTTACCGGCAATTAGTTCTCCTTCAGAAGCGAGCAGTTCAGAGCCCAGTATGAACTTCAGCGGCGTAAGAAGGCCATGGTTGATATTGTCGATTGTAATGGTTGCTGGGGCTGTTGCACTGAAGTACGGTGCTGGTGGTGACAGCTTCGAGCTGACTCCGACTGAGCTATTTGTTGGCGCCGCAGGGTTCTTGGCGAACAAGGTTGCTGTTCTTCTGGCAGCATTCAAACCCTTGCAAAGTAATTTGGAGAGCGACGATAGATCTGTGGACTGAGCTTCTTGAGGACATTGCTCTGAATATACTAGCATAATGTTAAAAAAAGGGGGTAAAATTTAACAGATGTAGCCTTTCGTAGTAGCTCGACAGCATTCAAGATCTTAAGCTAAGTATGGAAAGTGCAGGGGATCAGCCCAGAGGCAGAATTGAAGAGCGTGTGCTTGTAACTTGAGCCTACTAGTAACTTCATTCCATCAGCATGCACAACCACAGAAATTCATCCCTTAGCATTCTTTTGAGTCAGTCAAGAACAGATGGTCTGGTTGATAAAATCATAAAATACATTTCTGGCCGTGACACCTGGAGATACCAGATACCTCAAATGGTTCAAATGTTCATTCTGGTGAGATGGTTTGGTTACTAACTCCAAACTTATGATATTAATAGCATTACCATATGGTATATCGATGTAAATAAATTAATCGACTGTCCCGGGCAATTGGGCTGCTAGGTATTACAATACAGATGTCTGCATAGAAAGTGGAGTTATATTTGTCATATGTGGAATGTTCTTACGATTGGAAATATAGATGAATTTTCAGTGTGTTAAATTTATATTTGTGAATTATACTTGACATTGAAATATGATATTAGTGATATATTTCACCAATATCAGTTTCAGACACTAAAGAGAGCAGATTCACAAATATCATATTTCAAAAGTATGATTTCACTCAATTAAAAAACACAAATTTCAAAAAATGATTTTAAATAGATAACATTTTCTAAACAACAAATTTCAAATATTTCACATGGAAATCTGCTTCATATATATGAAAACTGATTAGACTCATTTAGAAAAAAAATGATTTTACTCATTTCAAAAAACAAATTTCACTCGTTTTAAAAGAATGGTTTCACTCATTCTGAAATACTGATTTCACTCATTCAGAAAATAATTTCACTCATTTTAAGAAACTGATGTTTGTGAAATATAACTGACATCTAAATGAATGGAATGAAATAAGCAACTTCTCGAAAAAATCATTGAAATAAGCAGCTTCACAAATATCAAATTTCAATTTCAGCTATATTTCACAGGATTGAGTGAAATGAGTGGACTTTAAACGTTGAAATTTAAACGTGTTTGAAATGTATCCAAGCTTTGTCCTCAAGGTCTTGGCGCTAGGAGTTCAAATATATAAGAACAAAATGGAAAAGATAGTATAGTTTAGAATATATGAATGATTGAAGTAAAATCATGTTTGAGAAAAAGCAAGAGAGATAATTCTATAAGGGCATCTCCAATACTGACTCACAAATTTGCCTCGGCGGTGAGGCTTGGGGCGCCACATTGTCATGTGCTGGTTGTTGATGTGGGCATGGGCATCCGCGGCGCAATGTAGTCCGACATCGACGCCTCATTTGCGATGTTTTCCTCGAGCCAGGCTAGCTCATGCTGCCCACTTGTCGATGCCGATCTCCTAGGCGTCATGAGTGAAGGTGCGTTGATATATTTTGGTTTGGAGTTTTGTCGTGCTCCGAGGTGTCGGTTATGGGTGTGACGCGGTCTATGTGCTTTGTTCTCTACCTCTTCACCATTCGTAGCTTAAGTTTGGACAAGATGAGTAGTGTGCCGGCGTTGTCGTGGTGGACGTGCTTGTTAACCTCTTGGCGTAACACTGTGCCAAAAGCCGTTGTATCGGTCATCTCGACTCTTTTTTATGAATATATGATACGCTTCAACAGACAACTAGAAAACTTTCTTTTCTTTATCTTTCTTCTCAGTGTTCGCCCGAGACTCGAAATAGTTAGGAATTAGGAAATGTGATTTTATCAACATCATCCTGCTCTCATTCCTACCAGGCACAAGGTTTGTTAGAGCAACTCCAAAGCGCCGATCCATTTCGTCCGCCTGCGTTCGTTTGGGTTGGCGTGGATAAAAGTGGCGGCCCAACGCGCCGACCTAAACCTAAATCACGTCCGCGTCGCGTCCACGCCGACGCATTTGCGGCTCAAATTTGCGCCCCAAATGCGTTGGCGCGGACGCCGAGCGGACGCTTTGCGCGCCTTCTCGCTATCCGCTGCGTCCCCACATGGCAGCCGTCCAACTACCCGCTGCCCACGCGGTCAGCTTAATTTATGACGACGGGCCCATGCGTCAGCGACGGCGCTCGTCCTTTTTTAAGCCGACAGTGCGGCAGGGCCGTCCTCATCCATACTCGCCGTCCACATCTGCCCACCTTTGCTCCCTCGTCGCCGGCAAACCCTAGCCACCACAACCACAGCGAGATGGGCCTCCGGCGTCAGCGGCAGCAAGGGCAAGTCCCCCGCCACCCCTTTCCCCTCCGAGTTCCTCCCACCTCCGCCGGCGCCTCGCCGGCAGAGGCAGCGCGTCAACGTGCCAGTGCACCAGGCGGAGTGGCACTGGCAGAACCGTCAGCCTCTGCCGTATCCGGACGCGACGCTGCCGCACGACTGGCATCTGGATCCAGATAGAATCCCAGTGCCGGCGGCGCCGCGGACGGCTCGTGCTCACGCGGAGGAGGTGCGGCGCCGGCGGGCGTTGCTGATGCCGGAGCAGCGCCTCGACAAGGCCTACGCAACCGACTCGCCCAACTGGGCGAGGTGGTTCGCCTTCGAGCACGAGGAGGCGAGGCGACGGGGCGTGCGCGAGGTCGACCGGAGGCCAACGCCGCTCGTCGTCCGCGAGGAGGACCAGGCAGCCCTTGCGGCCGTCTACCGGGAGAGCGAGGAGGACGAGCGACGCAGAGCGGAGGTGGCGGAGGCGGAAGAGGAGGCCCGCTACGAGGCGGCAATGGCGCAGGCCCTTGCCCTCCCCGCGGCGGGCGACAGTGTGGTGCCGCCGGTGGCCCCGCCATCCCCCATCAAGCCGGAGCCGGAGCTGCAGCCGGAGCCCGAGCCCGAGCCCATCGCGCGCTCCTCCTGGAATGGAGTGGTGCGCGAGTGGGTGTCGCGCCACCGGTTTGGCTGGGGGCGACGCCGGCGCAGGAGCAGGCGTACCTCGAGATGTGGCGCCAGCGCCGGCTAGCAGAGGAGCGCCGTCGTGGCGAGTACGAGGAGATGCTCGAGCACGACCTCGAGTAGGAGCAGCGCGAGGCCGAGGAGAAGGCGCGCCAGGCCTCGGCTGCACAGGCGGCCGCACACCCCCTCCCCCCTGCCCCGGCACTGCCTGCGTCGGCACAACCCGACATGGCGGCGCTCTGGAATACGACGTTCGCCTGGGCCGGGCCGGCGCCGACGCTCATCGACCTCACGGACCCCGAGGACGACGACGCCGCCGCCTAGGGCAGCGTCCCGCCTCGTAGTTTAGGCTGTTTTTTAAAATGCAAATGTGTGAACGCGTAGACTCTTGCAGGGCCTAGGTATACGCGCTGGGCTGTAGCTTTCATTTTATCTTTAACAGCATCGAGAACGGTGGATACAGGTATCCCCTCATTGATCTCCTAATTTAAAACCATGATTTCATCAATTGACAATGCAAACATACAATGCAGCAAGTTAGTATCTGGAAACTATCAAGACATTAAGGATTTGCGAACCACAAAAATTAGGCCACACACTACCCACAAGTTAACTGAAAGCTTGTGGCCCATCCATCTTAGGGTCACTACCCCCTTAACTAGCACAAAGAGCTGTGCTACACAAACGACACACTCTGGACGATTTGCAGACGATAAAGGACATCCAGCCATCCATGCATAGTCCAAAAGTGAACATCGCCGTTGAATCCTCCCGTCGTCCACAGTTTGGCTGGTATCTGTCGTCCGTAGAGTAATTTCGTAGCACAAAAGGAATGCAATACAGAACAGGTGGTTACTGAAAACTGTCACAACATTCTCCCCCTCATAGAACAGTATAACTAGCACAAACAATGAATTATCCATCACAGAACCAAACAATATGTGGCAAAATTAGCTACAGAACATATGTGAAAATCAAGCAATGAGCAACTTTATATTAATTCAGATAACCTCCTCTGCAACAGCTTCTGGAGAGGGAGGGGGGACAGCTGCTGTAAAAGGATTTGGTCCATCTACTTCAACAATATGAGCTTTTTTTCTCATCCTCCTACACATATACAGAATGAGTTACCTACCAGAATCAGCATTGTAAATAATCAGCATAAGATACTTGCAGAAAGTAAGTACCAGAAACAAGGTATGAGGAAGCTTTGGGCGAGTAAGCTTGGTACGCCTCGACCACTTCCGTGTAGCAGGTACGAAGGGAAGGCTACCGGAACTGTTCTCCATGACGGTCCAGCCTTTGGGCTGCAGTTAAAGCATCCCCACTTTAGAACAGAACTAAACTAGAAAAATAGGCTAGATTGTATAAATAAATTCAGGGCTCCATCGCACAAAACAAATAAATCTGTATAAGAGACTACATAACCAATACGTGATTGCTAAGCTGAGGCCAACGTATTTTCCAAATTCGATGTGGTCTAAAACAGCCGAAGCTCATAATAGGAACAGCGACGCCATTGCCTTCAGATAAGGGAAACACATAAACCACTGACATTCGGCAATCAAATACTCCGTCTGTTCATCAATATACAAGTCTAAACAGACATGCTCGAAATGGCAGTTCCTATAATATTATCAGATGAATAGTGTAACGCAAGAACTCCACAGATGATACAGGGCTGAAGGACACTCGGACGATGGCTAATCCAGCCGTTAGCTGCTGTTTCAGCATTGCCCATGGATGGCGTGATAAGCATGTCGTGCATGTATCGTCTGGTAAATGCCAAGCAGTGCTCAAGTGTAATGTGGTTTAAGAACTCCAAATAGATGGAGGTGCATAGCAAAAATTGCAGACAAATTCGTTAACTCAAATACTGCATGCCTACGTGATTTGTGATTTGGGATTCGAAATCAAAGGAAACAGGTGGAATAAGGGCGGCCACCATAACACGTGAGATGAGATAACAGAAACTGCACAATTTTAGAACTCAGAATCGAGGCAAACAGATGGTTCAGGGCGACTATTACTCGTTAAATCGAACATAGAACATGCGCCCATAGACTAGGTAA